AAAAAGTTTGCAATCTGGAGATAAAAACAAATACCTCTTTGACGTTATCAGGCATTAGACTCATCTTATAGTTAAGCAATTCATTGGTCAATAATTTGGCCAATTCTTTGGCCAGAGAGGCCTCACTGTCCGAACAGATTTGGTAACTCTCCTAATGGGTCATCAAATGGTAATTAATACAAATATACTGTAAATCGTATGAATAAATACCATATCAGTGAGCGATTTAAGTGTAATTTGTTTGCGATTGTCAATCATTTTGACCAAAGCTGCCATTCCTATGGGCACCCGTTGCACAACAGTACGGCTCATGGGCTCACTGTTAGGTACACTTTGCGAGGCAGTCTGTTCACTGACACCTCGCGCACTGTTTTCCATGGATTTCTTTGCCATATTCTGCTGATGAAGAACTGTTCCGATGTGTGAATTGATGTGATTGAATGAACTGAGATAAAAGTCACAGTATTGGCAGTAGAGGTTGGATGAGGACAACTCCTCCACTGTATTCCTTAGCTCTTCCATCTGTTTCACTGGATTTGCTTCCGACTCGACTCTGGGCTCATCCAACACTTCAATCACAGGTCGCTCGGGTGGTAGTCTTCGGCCGAATGATGGGTTCAATGCATCACTCGCTTTGAACTCATCCGAGGAGTCATTGCTTCCAAACAGAGCACCACTTCTACGTTGACTCATATTATCATCAATTCTTCGCGGCCTCTCGAACAGAGGCTTTTGGTGGGCAGGTCTCTGATCGGGTCTGTGAGGGCCTCCACGACCCGAACCGGACATCTCGTGCTTCCTCTTCTGCGGTGTCGATGGTTTGCCGCTCACAGCCCTCTCAGCTCTAGCGATGAAGTCGTCGATGTCGTCGACAACAGGTTGAGAAAGCATAGGATCTCGTGGTGCGGATCTCTCGCCAAATACATCGCGTTCGCGTTGGTCGGCGTCGAAGTGTCGGTTGTGATCCATTCCTCGGCCTCTTCGGCCGCGACCTCTAAAGTCTTCATCAGTTGCTGCGGAAGTAATGAGGTGTGAGTTATCAGCGGTTTTACGGGAATTAAAGCGTAAGTCTGTGTCTGATTTGGGCCTCAAATCTGTATCAATGGATGCGTTACCAGGATATCTGTCACCCATTAAATGGATATTCATTTTCCTGTCGTCTTCATTCCTCTGGATCTTAGTCTGAATGCCGTCTCTGATTGAGCTGCGGAACGAGTCATCGCCGGTAAAAGTCTTGGGTCTCTTGGGACCACTATTGTCACCGAATGTGGACCAGTTGACCACACTGTCCGCGATTGGATTGAATCCGTATCCAAAGTCTCTGCGGCCGGGGTTTGCTCGTTGCGATCGCCAGCCCTCTGGACCCCCTCTGTTGTGAGGCCCTCCTCGTCTACCACCGCCTCCTCGACCACCCATTGGTTGGTTGGGCGGTGCGGGTGTGGGTCGGGTGTCGAGGGGATCGGGTGGTCGTGCGACCGGTGTCTTGTCGATCAGGTCTTTGTTCTTAATATTCCTCACTTTGTCGACCGTCTTGTCGTCGTATATCCCCAACGCTATCATCTTCTTCAGCCTCTCGCTGTCGAGGAACATGTCGTCCGAATCCATGGTGTGGTGATCGGTATGCAGACAACCGACACAATGGTATTTGTGGTGATATTTAGCGGTTATGTTGTGATCACTGCATCACTCAGTCGTGTATTGACGGCACATATGATTGCAATTTGAGTTTCACTGCAAAACTCCTCCCATTTCTGTGATTAGCGCTCAATTCAAACGTCAATTCAATGGTTAACCACATCTCATGCCATTCACTCACCACAACACCTCCTTTCCATTTGGTTTGTCTATTCATATGTATTACATGTATCCATATTACAGGTCATATCAATATAAGTACCGTAAGAATAGTATGAATTATTAAAATAACATCTAATATACAGTACACCCATTGTATGACCCATAGAAGTGTTTACTTTTATTTTATACAATAATTCTATATAAAGATATAATTTATTCATTTAATAACCATTAAATGATTTAATATTACCGTAGTCATTTTAATATGTAAAATAATGAGTCTATTTTTAACTAAAATTTTTAATTTATGCTGCAATTAAAACTATATAACTGTCCCTGAGTTCAAGTCATAATGAGTGACATTAGGTTTGATACAAATTGTATTGAAAATAACATCCAATAAGAATGGTATTACCCAGGAGTTATATAAATGAACAAGGTAATGTAAATGAACACTTTATTTATATATAGTTATTTTTATCATGTTTTTTATATCTATTATACTTTTGCTTCCGAAGCATGTCCTCGAACTCAATCTCTTGAACGGTCTTCTGCTTCCTCTTCGGTATGTTATCCCTCAGAGCTGTAGTCCAATCGCTACCAACACTCATATCGTGCAGAATCTGAACGACATGATTGAGACACAAGAACTTGGATCCCGAGGCCCATATGATGTGCTCATCGATGGGCAGTCGGGCAGTACGGATGCCCTCTTTGGTGGCCTTAGTAAGAGTGACCGGTTGGTGGTATGACTTATCGATTAGACCTCCGATTACGTAAATATCATCGTAATTGTATGTCTTAAGCGGAGTGTCGGCATTGGGCGTCAGATAAACGAGTTTGTCTTTGGGGAACAGATCCACATAAGACTGTTTGTGGAACTCAGCCATAAAGCCAGGGCTTAGATATTTGGGTAGATATTTAGGGATCGCTTGCATCGACGGCAGCCATGGCTTACAGTTCGTGAAGTGCAGGTCAAAGGGCTCTCGGCTTTGGTAGCGATTGAAGTTATAGAGCAAATGGATCTGTTGTGCCAACAGTCGTGTCTCAGACAACCGCATGCAGTCATCGAAGTCCAGGTCTATCACCACTTTTTGACCAAAAAGGGCCGCATTTCTGAGTCGATGGACGTAATGGCGTTTTATGTGATTTACGGGTATTTTCGTGAACAGCGTGTTATGCCATAAGCCGTACACCAACTGATGGTCATTATCCCAGAGACCAGTTCGTGGTTTGTCTTCACTGTACTTCTGCTGCAATCGCGTCAAGTAATCAATTGAGTTATTCTTCCGCTTCTCATTGGACTTATGTCTGGCTTTCTGTCGTTTGCAGAGATATGTCAGCCATCTCTTCCTCTCGAGTGAATCATTCAAACACAACAAGTCCTTCATCTGAGTGCTGGTGATAGTGGTCGGCACCTGAAGAGTCGTGTACTTCTCGTACTCGTATTCACTCAAAATGGTCTCAATCTTGTCTCTGACGGTGTCATCGGTGACCAACTCTTTGAATGTGTCGACAGTCAGGTCCTCGAAGTCTCGCTCCTTCCCGAAGANTCGAAATCAATTTGCTTTTTGTCAAACAAACAATACTTGAGATCGGAAATGATGACAATCTCTTCATTCAGTTTTAGTTCAAATATGGCATCGATTTGTTGCACATCTTTCAGTGGGCCCTCAAACGCCTGGAAATTAAGGGACAAAAACTCGTCAAATATTAAAAATAAAATCCAATTTTTAATGCGAGACCTGTTGGCCAGTCATCAGTGAGTGGTGTGTAACGTATGGACGAGTCATGAAACAAGAGTACATTATCTTTGATGGTAATGGCGCTGTCGATATACCGTGGGAACCAATCCGATAAATTGCTGCCACCCATTAGAAACCATGCATTGGGAACCACTACATTAGTACCACAAATGACATCTTATTATCGATTTCAATGGCAACTAAAAAATAATATTTGTTGTCCTAAAGTAAAATTTGTGTGTTATTTGGTTTAGATTTTTAAAATAATTAATATTAGGTAGAAATTGATTTGACATATAATATAACCTTTAAAGTTGCTATTGATTGGAGACCTATTGACAGCAGAATTGTGTTTCGGATCATAAGTCTAGTAATAGTTATCTTTGAATAAATATAGTATTTTGGTAATTGAATGCACTATCGATTCGGGGATTATCACAGAATTGTTGGATTGCAGTTGACTGTAGAAATATTCGTGAAATTATAGATACTGTGAGGAATATTTGATACATTATTTCTTAGCTATTCACACAAATAGATTACAATTAGGTAAATAACATACAAAACATAAATCTAAGATAAACAATAGAGTTTGTCAACTTTGTGATTACAGAATAATAATAATTTCCATGTTTTTATCGTGCTTGATTTCAAAAGCACTTATATTTTATTTTATAATTCACTTGTATTAGAATTAATTCTCGCGATTATTTTGTTTTTAATTATTATTTATTTAGATGGTCATATTTATGTCAATGAGCATAATATATAAACTGATGTGGTTTTATTTGTTCATGATACTATTTTCAATATTTCTATTCGTTATATTCACGGCTTCTTCAGTGAATTATGGGATAAATAAATACTATAAATCCTTTAATTCATTACCGAAATTATATTCACAAAATACTAGAAGACATTTACTATTAATTATTTCAAGTGCTATGAAGTGAGAGTAAATTTGTAAAATCTATAAATTATTTATAATTATGTTTTATTTTACAGATTTTAAGTCTACTGCCTGTATTATTACTAAAAATTATTGAGATGACAAACAAATAAATGTTAATTATATATTTGTTTTTACTCTAATATTTGTATTACAGAATTATAACAAATGAATTATTCGTTTTTCATAAAATATTAATTAATTATTTTAATCAATATTTGTTATGCGAATTTATTATTTTATCAATTTGCACTTAGTAAAATGAATGACATTTTATTACAATTATCTCGCATTATATAAGTAATTTTGCTAATTCAATTATAACTTAATGATGCATAATTACATTAATGGTTTTTCAATACTTGAATTATTTCTAAGCGAATTTAATTTATATTAAATGTTTATTTCATTATTTCTAATTGTCTGATATAAAACAAAAGTCTCATCATTTTATTGAACCAGTCTATGAAGTATCATTTACAATCTCTTAAGGATTAACAGTAAATTGTTAAATTATTTTTTTAATACAATGGAAAATATCGCTATAAACAAGGTGCTACCACAACATTTATCAATTATGTCATTAGATAATCATTTGTATAGAATTGGTTTGTGTATCGCTCCGTATGGCAGTAATAACCGCAGGGCTTTTATAAACACCCCGATTATTTTATTCATTAATGTAGTCATATATTGGTTTAAATTCATCGCTTGTATTCTTATCACAAATGAATTCTTGTTAAGAGTTTTGGCAGATTTCGCTCATTTCATGGCAATTAGAGTTCACTACAATTTAGCGGCCCTTCTATTGACCACATCTTGTATTTTGATTCAAATCACATATTATTATAACTACAGGAATGGTGTGAAACCCACATTCCTTCGAGTATTTCAAATGATGTCCGGCTCTAAGACACCTAAATCTGTTGGTCTTACAAATGAAACACAAATTTTTAGATTCAAATCACATATTATTATAACTACAGGAATGGTGTGAAACCCACATTCCTTCGAGTATTTCAAATGATGTCCGGCTCTAAGACACCTAAATCTGTTGGTCTTACAAATGAAACACAAATTTTTTCGTTAATCAGAAGAACTAAAATTTTGTACAAAATTATTAAACTAAACAACGAGAGAATTGTACCTATTTTTGCCTTTTCTTTAATAATCCTAACTTTTGCATTCAATACATCACTCAATGAATTATTAATGTTTGGTATTCCCAATGCTTTCATATTTATGGTGTTTGCCTATCAATTGTATAATATATACTTTTTTCAAAGTTTTTATTTCTATATATTGTGTTATTATGTAAGAATCAAGACCAAGGCAATTAAAAGAAAACTAATAAATATTTTCAAGCAAAATAACTACACTGTTCAAAATACTATTGCTTCTTATAATCGTATTTATGCTGAACTTATTGATTACAACGACTCGTTTTGGTCAAAGTTTTTATTGTATTTGTGGCTAATTATGGGATCAATAATTGCTAATTTTATATATATTGTTTTATTTGTGCCAATGGATATTTATTACAAGTTAATATGGGTTTATGTCAGTATAATATTGTCAACACTTTTCATGTTCATAATATTCACGGCTTCAGCAATTAATTATGAAATCAATAATTCATATAAAGTTATGAACTCTTTTATGGCTCACAATTCAATAAAGCATACAATTTATGCTAGTACCAAAATAAAGGTTAGTTTTTTTTATTTTAATATTTTATAATAAACTGAATTACATTTTCAATACAGTTATTGGTATTAATCGAAAGAGTGGGACAAAAAACTCTGGGCTTTTCGTGTTGGAAGTTATTTACAATCAATTATTTCAAATGCTATGAAGTAAATACTTAAATCAATTATTTTCACTTAATTTTTTACTTAATAACTATTATTTCATTTTTCAGATATTGTGTTTACTATCAATGCTTTTCTTAAGAATAATTCAGATGTCAAGGAAATAAAATAATATTCATTTTACTGTAACGTAAAGATTTTTTTATTATCAAACATTAAAATTCAATTAAAATAATAAAGTCTTTCATAAAAATATTTTTGGAAACGGATTTGCTTTGAATTAGTGAAGAATAGGGTTCACTA